TGGATTACCCGAAAAGCGCCCATGGGGCAAGCACTGGGCAAAATTGTCAGGGTATCACTAACTGGACTGTTATCTGCCAGCTTATTGTTTGCCAGTTTAAGTGAGGGAGCGGTTGTTATTTGTTGAACAAAGGGTTAGGCGGTTTTGGGAACATTGAGGTGTGTCAACGTACAAAAGATTCTGCAATTAAATAGGCCTCAATATTTATGGTAAATGTACAGTAAGTAATTATAAATACATTCTGAAAAATGAACCCTTCCAGAATGAAACTAAGTTGACAGACATTGCACATTGCGTCTAACAACAGCTTACTTATAGCTATAGGTACCCCCGGCGAATACAAAGTTTTGAGAGGGAATTGAAGCAAATTTTTGATAGATTGGTTACTTCGAATATGTTTTTAGTCCAAATATATCATCAAATCACACAGTTTGTACGTGGGAATGTATCTTTAAATGCAACTCAAACCTCACGGTATTAATAGCTGGGGATCACGGTGGCTAAGTGGGTAAGACGCTGGCTCACTAGCCTGGAGGTAGCAAAATGTACGGAACAGTGCGGTCTATTCTAACTGTCAAGGTTCATTTTACGTACAAGGTTTATCGTCCTGTTCTTTGCTTATCTTTAACCATTCTCTCCGTCCAGCACCACTGACAAATGGCAACACCGGGATCGAACCTTGGACCACTTGGTTAGCGAGTCAGCGCCTTACGTATTGAACCATCGTTGTTATTATTTAAGTAGCCATCATATATGTTCACCAGGCCCGTAGCCAACCCAATGCCCCCCTGAAAAAATGTTTTGCCCCCCGAAAAAAAAATAGTTGCCGACCATAGCTCTAAAATACCTAATGTAGACTGTGCCCCCCCCCCCCAAAAGAAAAACAAAAAAACCCTGCCCCTCCGCAGCCAGCAAGCTGGCTACGGCCCTGATGTTTACCTTTAATTTTCGTAAAGAAAACTTTATCTGGAGCACCCATTGATATTAGTGAATTTCATATTGGTATATTCAGCCTAAAATAATCTCGTTTGTATAAGCTATGCTATTCTGGGCTACTATTATAATATGATCTTTGAAGGGCATTTAGTTAAAATTAGCGATTGAACATAATATAATACGACACATTTCTATGGAGAACTTTCACTGTATTATATAATAAACAATGGGCGGTTCGACACGATTTGAATGGTCGTGAATATGATAATATGGATGCATAAGGCGTACAATATTGGACTGGCCTAGTTTGTAGAATATAAAAGACTTTATGGGGATTATAAAGATATATTTATCCCTGGATAATGTAAAATTAAATGTCGAATATGTGCGTAATCATTGTTTGCTTATTGAAATTTAAAGATACGTTCCCAGAAAAAGATTATCGGGTGGTTATTTCCAATAAAAGTATGGCAATTTTGGTATATATGAAAAGTAGAAATGTCCAATCTTACTAGAAAAATACCGGATTCCCTGAAAAACACTGATGGAGCGTATACAGGACAAATATGTAAGGGTTCCCCTAATCGACAGCCCGACGATTAGGAATATCTGCACGCGTGACGTCAAAGGTTGCACGCGGAGAATGAGCGCTTGATGTACTTGTTGATAAACTTTATGAAGAGTTAGACGTACAACAATGTCTGAGATAAAAATCACGGAAAAAGACGCGGGCGGTGGATAATCCGAGAATTTAATTAAGATCCGATATTTAAAATAAATAGTCAGCGATTAAAGCATCGTCTTGTGTATACAATGAATTCTCCTCCGACTTCGCACCCGTTGCTAGGTACCGAGAGAGGTAAGTCACGTGACACAAACATGACCTCTTTTGGTCGATTTTTTTTATGGCTGGGGCTATTTGCCACATGTGGTAAGACAATCCGGAGACTATTTGCCACATGTGGCAAGTCTCCGTACCGCAATTATCAACCAATTTCAATGAAACTTACAGATAACGATAACATTAATAATATCTCAGAGTAGGTAAAATTTCGAGCACTTCCGGTTAGCGGTTTTGGGAGATATCAGATATCAGGTTACCACACATTTCATGTGGCACGGCTACAGACCACAATTATCAATCGATATCCATGAAACTTACAGAATATGATAACATTAGTAATATCTCAGAGTAGCCAAAATTTCGACCACTTCCGGTTAGCGGTTTCCGAGATATCAGGTTACCACACATAGCAGGGGTATTCCTTGGCAATTTCAATGTGGGCATATAAAAAGTGACAATTTCGCCTGAAAAAATTACCTGCATTCATATGCCTTTACGATTTTAAAAAGAATAGATTTGTTATAACCTGGGAGCCATGGTGGCTAAGATGGTAAGTCGCTGGCTCGCTAGCCTGGAGGTCGTGTGTTCGATCCCTGCACTGGTCATGAAAGTTCATCGACATATTCGACTTGGTTTCCCCCTGTCAGTGGTGCAGGACAACTGTCTGGTCCTTCGGATGGGACGAGAAACCAAGGCCCCGTGTATGCATTGCCATGCACGTAAAAGATCCCTTGGCAGTTGGAATTTGATATAAGAATAGGTCATAGTGGCGCTGCCCGGGCAAAATTTCCCTCACAACACACTGTATGGCGTATGCCCGTCTTCATTAACCCAGTACAGGAGCAGAACAGTAGGACGTTAAACCTCGTTTCATTTCATTTCATTTTGTGTTATAACCTATCCCGATTGCTAATGAAGCTGAGTATGGTTGTATTTTACACGGAATTCATATTGGGTGGGGCGAAGCTGTCAACGTAGCGAGCCAAAATGGCGATCGGGTGGTTTGTCCCCGGGACAATGTTTAAACTTATTTACAAATAGGGGGTTTGGATAGCAGAATGGTTAGCGCGTGCGCGTTGTATCATACGGTCTGTCTACGAATAAACGGGCATGGTTTCGATTCCCCAGTTATGCGTGACAAGGAATAGGGTCGTCTGTCCAACCTCGTGGGGTTTTTACGGGTCCTCCGGTTTCCTCCTACCGCTAAAGACCCCCTACGCGGAAGCGAATTCTTGAAATAAAATTGAACCATATGTGAGTCCCAAAATGACGTAGTTTGTGTCTAGTGGACGTTAAACCCCATCTCTCTCTCTCTCTCTCTCTCTCTCTCTCTCTCTCTTTACAACTAACCACAGCGCCGCCCCTGTTTTATCGGTTGTTTTAGACGAATAAAGATAACCTAAATGTTGATAGATAAGTGAAGATATATGATGCTATTATTGTGTAATCAATGTATAACCAAACTTGATGTGACCCCGGGGTCATGGCCCCCTGGTTCACAACGGCCATACTTCCGTAATTAAAGCTAATTAAACGGCCATAACTCTGCAAAAAAGTGATTGCGCTTAAATTAAATCCAAATTACCCTCTACTCATAAAAGACATTATGTTCAGGTTTGAAAAAGATTGGTCAAACATTGTTACTTCCAGAGAGCGGACAACCAAATCACATCCAGAGAGAGAGATGAAAGTCCACCTGGCGCCAACTAGGTCATTTCGGGACTAATATAAGATTCAATTTTATTTCAATAATTCACTTACGCCTAGGGGTCTTTAGCAGTGAAGGGACCCAGAGAAAGCCCACGAGGTTAGACAGGCAACCCTACTCCTTATCACGTACAAGCGGGGAATCGAAACCACGCCACATGACTTAATAACAGACCGTATGATCATACGCGCACGCATTAAACCACTAGACCACCAACCCCTCCTCTCCCATCAACTCCCCTCTCAGTTTGAATTGTAACTTTGAAAGTGGACAAGCAAATGTGGACTGACCGACGAACCGACGGACAGGACAACTTAATTATATGTATGGGCGTATAAAAACTGCGCCACGATCGTAAATACAAAATAAGTGGCACAATTGCATTCCACTGAAAAATTCTAGTTATGGTTCAATCTTTATCTCAATAAATCGCTAGCGCGTATAAGTGGTCTTTTAGCAGTGGGGGGAAACCAGAAGGACCCGAACAGGCCAGGCGACTTGGCTCCTTGTCACATACAAGCAGGGCAATCTGTTTCACAGAGATCTTCTAACATCTCTGTAACAGATGACTGTTTCGACACGTGACGTCACATCACGCGGCGTCAATCATTGGCTCAATAGCGCGTGCATTTTTTACATAAGACGTTACTGATTCGGGTTAAATGGTGAATTTTACTTATTTTAATACCCATTTACACTAAATAGGAAATGATTTTTACCTACAAATAATTCAAACGTCTTTATTTATTTTTCTAATAAATGAAAAAAATGTTTTAGAATTTAATTTGACGGAAGAAAAAAGTTAATATTTGGGACTCATTAAGTCGCATCGATATCATCCTTATCCGTGATTGTCGCGGCCTAGCGAAAATTCACTGCGGATCAGTGTGACAAGCGGGGATGTAAAATCACGCCATTGACTCAATAACAGACCACACTCGCACGCGTTAACCCCCCCCCCCCACACACACACACACACCCCAACCCCTCCCCAAATGGTTGAAGGGATGTTGGTAATAATATGGGGTTGGTAAAAATTAAATATACAATTTATTTAATCCGCAAAATTGGACTACATCCACATTTGTCTGTCAGATAAGAAGCTACTGTGGATGGTAAAAATTAAATATACAATTTGTTTTATCCGCAAAATGAAATGAAATGAAACAGACCTGCAATAGACAGATGTAGCTCTACCATAATGTACCTTTAACTCTGTAGCGAATATTTCAAGGACGTTTTATAATTCGTTCACTATTTGGTTGACATTCAAACTGTTTACATAGCCAGATTTACCTCTTGTATAATATATGTATAAGCGAGGATTAAAACATGGATAGATCAGCGCGCTAGTGCCTAACCCATTAAGCCACCGCTTATCCAATCCCACGATCTAGCTAATATTTCAAGGATATTTTATAATTCGTTCACCATTTAGTTGACATTCAAACTGTTTGCATATTTTTCTCTTGTCATATTTAACAAAGATATTTGATCTATAAAAATACTCACGAATATTGTGTATCTTTGTTTGCTTCTCGTGTCATGACTATAGGTTACCGTGTAAGACGTTCCCTGGTCTTCTAACGGATTGTTACACTAGAACGCCTTGAGGTTCTTAGGGTAGAGGTTACTATTCAATGCTCTACATCAAATTCGCCCTAAATTTCACACGCCTTATGTGAGTACAGCGATAGCACATGTTTGTTGGTTTTCTGATAACCGACTGGTGTACTTTAGATTACAAATTAAAGATTACGTTACTAGACGAGTCAAGGAGCTATGTAATAATATAGGGCTAAATCTATTTGTTAAGGCCAGCTCAATGTTTGTCAAGGTCGCTGAGATGTAAATAACATTAGGAAATGAAATGAAATAAAATGACATTGGGTTGATTAACGTCTTACTATTCTGTCCTGACTGGGCTAATGAAGACGGGCATACGCCATACAGTGTGATATGAGGGAAATTTTACCCCGGCAGCGGCACTATGGCCTACGCTTATATCGAATTACAACCGCCAAGGGATATTTTACGTGAACGCCAATATATACACGGGACCTCGGGTTTTCGTCCCATCTGAACGACCAGACAGCTGTCCTTGTCAGGCCCTCCGTCCTGCACCACTGACAAGGAGAAAACACGCCTAAAAATCCGAATGAACTTTCCCGGTCAATGCAGGGATCGAACACAGGGCCTCCAGGCTAGCAAGCCAGTGTCTTACCCACTTAACCACTGTGGCTCCTAGATTAGTCAGGGCATTTAGATAGCCACAGCAGCACCTGAAAGCGACCTGATTTTCTGCACCAGTTAGGGTAATAAAGATTGGTATACGATATTCAAACATTGACGGATTAATTTTACTGCGTATCAGTTTGAATGTAGCCATGAACGGGATGGAGAGAGAGGGAGAGAGAGAGAGAGAGAGAGAAATGGGGTTTAACGTCCACTCGACACAAACTAGGTCATTTCGGGACTAACATATGGTTTTAATTTTATTTCAATAATTCGCTTGCGCATAGGGGTCTTTAGCAGTGGGAGGAAACCGGAGGACCCGGAGAAAACCCACGAGGTTGGACAGGCGACCCTACTCCTTGTCACGTACAACCGGGGATTCGAAACCACGCCAGTTGACTCAATGACAGACTTAATGATACAGCGCGCACATGCTAACCACTAAGCCATCCACCCCCCCCCCCCCCCCGAACGTGATGGACAATGGATATAATATCGTCGACGAGAATAAAGGTTTAATCTAACATAAACACACATGGTCGACATGTGATAGGCTTATTTATGTTACACACTGATTGAACTAAAGCCGCCCTAAATTCAATCTTCGTCCTTCGGGAACGTATAGGACAGAGATCGAGAGAGATAGAGAGAGAAAGAGAGAGAGAGAGAGAGTGAGAAATGAAATGAAATGGGGTTTAACGTCCTACTATTCTGCTCCTATACTTGGCTAATGGAGACGGGCATACGCCATACAGTGTGCTATGAGGGAAATTTTGCCCGGAGAGAGAGAGAGGAGATAGATAGGGGGGGGGGGGGGCGGGGGGGGGGGGGGGGGGTTAACGTCCACTCGACACAAAACCAGATCATTTCGGGACTAACATATGGTTCAATTTTTATTTCAATATTCGCTTGAGTGTAGGGGTCTTTAGCAGAGGGAGAAAACCAGAGGACCCGAAGAAAACCCACGAGGTTGGACAGGCGACCCCGCTCCTTGTCACGTACAAACGGGGAATCGAAACTACGCCAGTTGACTCAATGACAGACCTTATGATAAAATGCGCACGCACTAACCCGCTGTTCTTCTTAGAAGCTTTTAGTTCCGCAGTTGTGAAATTTTAAACAAAACTCCGCTCATGAGACTTAAGTTGTTATTTATTTATCGATACACTTGGTTTTAGAAATTTTAGCTTCAGTGAATGAAATAACGGAAAACAAAAATGGCAAACGGTACGTAAGTTACGCAAAAGTGTGATTCAATAAACTGATCTAAGTCTAGAAGTAAATAATATTATAGACTTACCAATTTTATGAAATGAAATGAAATTAAATAAAATGGGGTTTAACGTCCTAATGTTCTGTGTCGACTGGACTAATGAAGATGGACATATGACATGCAGTCAATCTGATTAGAATACAGATCTATATTTCGTTTCGTTTTTTTATACTTTCGATGGCTTCTACTACATGAAGATCTGACAAGTTATAGCGATAGGTCACGTCAGGGGTCAAAAAAACGACTTTTGACCCTATGACATTTGATTAACCAATAAGCATTGATGTTACTAGTGGATTACCCACAGTTCCGTGCAACACACGCCTAAAGCTCGCCGTAACAGACCGTTTCATTGGCTTATCCCTGACACCATTCAGAACACGAGTTAAATAACAACTCTTCTAGATCCTAGTGTAGTAAAGACAAGTAACACGAAATTTTGAACTATAAAAACGAAACGAAATAGGATCTGGGTTTTAATCGGATTGGCCATGCAGTGTGCTATGAGGGAATTGTGACGTCATATGGAAGTCAGCCAATCGATGCGCAGTTTCTCAAGGAACAGACATGCCAAGTTTCATGTACTTAAATTGTCGGTTCCTTAGAAGTTGGGGTTTTTTTTCGATAAGCGTCGCAACCAGCTGTAGAGATTGGGAGAAGCTATCAAAAAACCTCGACATAATTTTAAATGAAATGAAATGGGGTTTAACGTCCTACTGTTCTGCTCCGACTGGACTAATGAAGACTACATATACTATACAGTGTGGCTATGAGAGAAATTTTGCCAGAACAGCGGCACTATGGACTACTCTTATATCGAATTCTAACTGTCAAGGGCACGCCAGTGTATAGGCCTACACGGGGCCAAGGTTTGTCGTACCATCTGAATAACTATACCTTGTTCCTTGCCAGGACCCCGTTCTGCACCCCGTTCCCTTTCTCAGTCAACACCGGGATCGAACACGGGTCCTCCGGGTTAGCGAGCCCACGTCTTGCTCACTGAGCCACTGCGGCTCTCCACGCCAAACAACTAAAAAATGCTGTATTGGTTTGGCCTAAGCAGCTACTTGTAATAGGACAGCGGTCAACTTTTATCGCCGATTTCACGGATACATAGATACGCTGAAATTAGTGTTGTTTGACCTAAGCACTCTGAGCTATCAGTTCTTGTCGTTGATCTTTTGTGAGAAGTTCACTGATCTATAGAGACAGGCAGATACGGTCTACTGAATAATAAAACTAAGAGAAGTGTTTGTCAATCAGAAACGCAGAAATAAACCAGTAAATCCAAATGATATATTCAAATCAGTGCATTAGGCATGCCGTGACGAGATAAAAGAGACAATTGCATGTATGAACATGTGTGCAAGGGTATATATTGAGGAGTTCACTGACAGTTAGGAGAGAGGAGTCGGGAGAAGAAGAAAGGGTTGGACGAGTGTATGACTCACCCGAGTTCAGCCGCTGCCTTGGCAGAGGGGCGGAATGGTTGATTCAAGATTGTTAGATGTGTTCCTGTCGTAGACTAGTTCTTGTATAGTTTTAGGACCTGTATTGCTGTTGTAATTATGTAGATGTTTGATATTCTGTTCCCGTTGTAAATAAACCATATATTTACGAAACCGATCTTCTGTTATACACTAATAGTGTTACAGTGATCTGAAGAAGCATACTAAAAACATGTAACTATTCGCCGTACATATAACCGTAACCAACCTGATAACTCTGGTATCCTTCCGCCTCAAAATTATGAATATTTACCAAAACCCGATTGAAAAGGTTAATTATCTTTTTTCACTCTAGACCATAAAATCAACAAAAATGGCCATGCAAAATCGGAAAAGAGGGAGACAGAGATTTGCTATTAATCGACGCACTACATGATGATACTTACTGGTCTACCTCCGAAATATGATTGACAGCTCGTCAACTATTTTCAACCCGAACAATATTCACTGGGAGCATTTTTTGGAAAATGGCGGGATAGATAGCGTATGCGCTGTATCATAAGGTCTATCATTGAGGCAGCTGGTGTGGTTTCGATTCCCCGGTTGTACGTGACAAGGAGTAGGGTCGCCTGTCCAACCTGATGGGTTTTGACTGGGTCCTCCGATTCCTCCCAATGCTAAAGACGCCTACGCGCAAGCGAATTATTCAAATAAAATTGAAACATGTGTTAGTCCCGAAACTACCTGGTTTGTGTCGTCGTTACATCTCTCTCTCTCTCTCTCTCTCTCTCCTCTAAATTTTCCGGCGATGTTTCCCTTGCAGTATGTTTATTTATTAAAGATTTGGAGAAATATTCGAGGTTTTGCTCTACTAAAGTTGGAAAACACCATAGACTAAAATCAATCGTCAAACATTTGTAGAATATGCCCGCTTTTCTTACATGCATTGCAAACGAAGGTTTTCTTTAGCGTCTGGGAATTATAAAAAAAATCTTAACATAAAAAAGATGAAAAACAAATTCAACAGACTTCTTTGAATTTTGTAGTTTAGCCAAATATGTGTTTAAAAAATTTAAAAAGAAAATTCAACGAGAGAGACATCATTAAATTTTCTAGTTTAGCCAAATATGTGTTTTAAAGATTTAAAAAAAACAAATTCAATGACATAAAATATTAAATTTTCTATTTTAGCAAAATATGTGATTTAAAGAATCATAAAAACAAATTAATAAATGACATTATATTTTCTAGTTTAGCAAAATATGGTTATTAAAGAAATAAAAAAAGATCTTACCCTTCCATCTTAGAGAAATATACTTTATTACTGGTTGTTTGACAGTGTCCAGCTATGGTTATCAAACCGTAACAACATCTATCGTTGGTTATATGGCGTGTATTTCAAGACATCACCCTTTATAGCATTTTACTGTCCTTTATATACGTAGTCGGTCATATATGAGATCAACATATCAAATACATTATATTATGCATTTAAAGTAACGCTGCGTGATTTGCATTTTTAGGAAAATAAATGTTTATCATGGCTTAAAGGAGCTAAATCGCTAATATTTGGAGCCTAGAAATTGACACAAATGGGTCGCAACGGATATAATACATTCAATCGGTTCCCTTTTTACTCTAATTTCAAATCAGTTATGTTCGGCGAAATACGCCAGAAGTCTCAATCGAATGGCAATGGTGATTAGAGGGGCAAAGCTGGGGCAAAGTCCAATGTTAAGGAGGCAAAGGCACGAGCTTCAACTAGGGGTAGGGGGCCTCCCCCAGAAAATTTTGAAAAACAGGTTGCCGG